CTGGCCGAGCCCCGCCGTGCAAGAGGAGCAGGGCACCCCGAGCCTGCCGCCGTCCCGGCCCCGGCTCCGACGCAGGCAGGGCCGGCGCAGAGCGGCGCGGGTGTAGGGCGCCCGCGGCCCCGGCAGTGCAGCGTCGTCTCTGTCCCTGCCCAGGAGCGTGGCATCGCGGCGCCACTTCGTCGTCCGGTGACCCTCGGCTCCTGGCACCGTCGGCAGGAGGAGGGCGAGCCTGGCTGTGCCGCTGCTTGGTGTGGAGCTGCTCCCATCGGGTGCCTGGGAGCCAGGCAGTGACACCACCAGCAGCGTGCAGAGAGTCTGGGAGCAGCGGTGTCTCTTCCAGCCTGGTCCTCCTGGAACAGCTTCTTCAGCCCGTGGCAAGCCTGGCACTGCACTGATGCAGTGGAAGCACTGCAGCATGCCCGGGAGCTTGGCACAGCTGCTGGACAGCTGCCGCAGCATGCAGTGAACCGATGTAGCAACCGTAGCAGCATGCAGTGAGCTTGGCAGTGTCGTTCTTCAGCAACCATCCCAGCGTGCAGTGACCCTGGCCGTATACCCGTTCAGCAACTACATTAGCATGCAGTGAGCTTGGCAGTGTCAACGTATAGCCACAGCAGCATGCAGTGTGCCAGCAGTGTACCAGTTAACCAACCATCCTAGTGTGCAATGTGCTGGCAGCGTACCTGTTAACCAACCATCCCAATGTGCAGTGTGCTGGCTGTGTACCAGTGAACCAACCATCCCAACGTGCAGTTTGCTGGCAGTATACCTGTTAACCGACCATCCCAACGTGCAGTGTGCCAGCAGTGTCCCAGTTAACCAACCACCCAGCTTGCAGTGAGCCTGCAGTGTACCAGTTAACCAACCACCCAGCTTGCAGTGAGCCTGCAGTGTACCAGTTAACCAACCACCCCAGCTTGCAGTGAGTTGTGTATGGCAGTGATCCTGGCAGTGTACCAGTGCAGCAACCCACCGCAACGTGCAGTGAGCCCAGCAGCATCTCTGCTAGCCTGGCCCTTTTGGAGTATAACCTTTGCTGTGCAGTGACCGCCAGACCCCCATCCCCAGCTCGGGAGCACGGCATCACCAGCGTGGCCAGCCAGGGAGCCGGCAGCCGCAGGAGCCAATGACGAGCCCGGAGCACGGGCACAGGCAGTGGGACGTGACAGGTGAGGCAGATGCCAGGGACCTGCATGCTGGCAAGTCCCCAGGGCTCTCGCTGCATCTCCTGCAGGGACAGGCTGGCAGGGGCAGGGAAGGGCAGGTGTTGGTGGGACAGTCGGGCATGCCACAAGAGTGAACGGCTTGTATGTGTGTGTGCTGTGCCCATAGGTCATAGGTCTTCTACTGCAGAGGGAGATCCTCCTTCAGCTCTGCCTCTGGAGCTGCAGGGGCTGAGTGCTAGTCCTGCAGTTGCCCCGGGGTCCTTGAGCAGCTGTAGCAAGGTGACCAGGGTGTGTTGGGAAGCAGGGGGTCTCCTTGGCAAGGCTGCCAGGGGCTTGCAGGTTAGGAGCTGAGGATGACTGGACCCTCAGGGGCTCTGTCCCTGTCTTTGGCATGACCTCGGGGTGGCCCCCCCCAAGCTGTTCAGTGCCTGGTTAATGCTGGAGGGGGGTTTCTCCTGCCTCACAGGGGTGTTACATAGGGGAGCTGCCCCTTGCCCTTCCCTCGGTCCCAGGCGGGTCACTATACTTAGCACATCGCGCTGGGTGCAACCTCTGGGGCTACAAATACCCCGTGGGCTGCATCTCCCATGGCCCGTGCTGCCGACTGCAGCCCAGCCCGTGGTTTCAGGCAAGGACCCCCTGGCAGCTTGTGGTCGCCCGTGGTGGGTCATGCACTCAGCAGGAGCAGCGTTGGGTTTGGGTTTTTTTGTCAGGCACCAGGACCAGAGCTGGCATCGACTCAGTGGACCCTTCTCTCCCCTGCCGTGGCCTCTCTGGGAGCAGTGGTTTCAGCCGCTTGTTCGGAGGGTGTCGCTGGGCTCCGTGACCCACGAATGAGTCGGGGCTTGGCGTTGCTGTCGCTGAGATCTAGGGTGGGCCTAACTAATGGGCCAGAGGCATGGTGGAGCCTGTGCTGCAGGGGCACTGGAGACCAGCCCTGTCTCTGGTGCTCCCC